CCCTTCCGGGGGCCGGACGCTCTCCCCGAGCCCATACCGGTAAGTACTTTCACCCCTGGCTTTACCATTTTGTAATGTGATTAGCTAAAGGTGTAATTTTATATTTCTAAACATTCTAGCTACAGTAGAACCTCAGAGTTATGAGCATGTCGGGAATGGAGGTTCTTCATAACTCTAAAATGTTTGTTAATTCTGAACAAAACGTTATGATTGTTCTTTCAAAAGTTTACAACTGAACACTGATTGAATACTGCTTTGAAACTTTACTATGCAGAAGAAAAATGCTGTTTTTAACCACCTTAATTTAAATTAAACAAGCACAGAAACAGTTTCTTTACCTGCTCAAATCTTTTTTTAAACTTCCCCCCTTTTTTAGTAGTTTATGTTTAACACAATACTCTACAGTTATTTGCCTTTTTGGGGGGGGGGGGGTGTCTCTGCTGCCTGATTGTGTATACTTCTGGTTTCAAATGAGGTGTGTTGTTGACTTGTCGGTTCATAACTCTGGTGTTCTACTGTACAATACTCTTGTACCTAGACCTTAATATTCAGTAAAGCAGCAAACAAGTTTATAACAACTTTAAGAAGTTATAATGCAAAAATATTAATAAAAGTATCAATATTGAGGTCTCCTCCCCACAGGATCCTTGACTGGCTCTTGAAAGTCAGGATCAGAAATTAAATACTCCATGCAGCTTTACGCTATTTTTCCTAATTGCATCGTTGGTGTAAGTGATATTCAACAGTCACCCCTCAAGAAAGAAACTTCAACAATAGGCAGGAGTTCCAGCTTTAACAAAGTGGATCAACAAGCTGCTGGAGGAAAGTCTATTAAAACCATCCATGTTTTCAATTACCTCCGTACACTATCCTTCTAAAGCAGAGTTTTGGTTCCCCACACACCTCATCTGAAGTCTTACTGCCATTGTCCATGCTTTACCTATTAACTGAAATAATGATCATTACTGGAATTATTCCTAAATATTATTCCTCTTCCCATCAAACAACCTGACACTTCTGTTATTCTAGGATTTAGCCCTAGCCAACATGGGGGGGGGGGGGGGGGGGGGGAATAAAGATCCCTTATTCAGCAAAGAAGTGGGAATACTAATCCAGTATGCGAATAGTAATTCTTTACGTGGATTTCTTAACTTTACTTTCAACATAAATTTTCAACGTTTACATAGGAGAAGTGATTCCCACCATATGTGGCACTATAAAAGATGGGGACTCGTTGCTGTGAAAGCATTCTGTGGATATGTCCAAACTTTCAGTTTCTAAAATACCACAAAAGCCTGAAAAGAAGGCGTTAGACAACTCTACAAGCACTAAATCAAAAAGTAATTTCCTTTCATCATAACAGTAAAAGTAATTTAGAATTTAGTCTTACATAGAGAATTTGTGCACACACGTTGGGCATGCAACCCCAGTCCAAAACCGCATGACCACTCTCTCCTCCAGGAAAGTATGAGAGGATGCCCCTAAGAGATCACCATCCATGTTTCTTTCATTATACACTAGGGCAGAGGTTCCCAAACTGTGGGCTATGGCCCAAAGGTGGGCTGTGACACAGTCCCGGGTGAAGTTTGGGGAGGCAACACCCCCTCCCAAACTGTGTACACTGATAGTAGAGAGGGACAATTTAAAAGTTCGGCCACCCCCGAAACAGCTTGAGTCATGGCTCCACCCCGGGAAGTCCCGCTCCCACCCGCAGGGCACCTGGCACCACCCTGTCCAACTGGGAAGCAGACAGCGCCAAGGAGCTGGACGCCAGCCCCCTACTGGTGGAGGGGTGGTTGTTGATGGCCCCCATTCATGGCCGGAGGAGACCAGCACCCCTGGTGGTGGAGAGGAAAGCAGAGCCGATGGGTGGAGGGCGAGGAAAAGGGGCCAACCCCGAGAGGCAGTAGCTCCCAGGGCACCTAGAGGAGGCTGGAGGGTTCGTTCCTGCTCTGAGACGTTGCACCCCACGATCCGTGGCTGTCAGGCCTCCTGGAGTATCAGCCCCACAGTCCCCCAGGAACTAGGGCTCTGCGGTGCCACTCTGTTTCTGCCTGGACAATACTGTATTTGGGACCATCATAGGTAATGGCTGGGCCCAACCCGAGCGCCTGCCTCTACCTGGAACTGGTGGCCCCTGAGCTCTTCCCTCATTCCCAGGCAGGGGGTGGCTGTGAGGTGCGCCAGGGTGCTGGGTGGGTGACTGGGGCAGGGCTTCCAGGTGTTGAGCTCAAGGCACTCAGCAGGCTGCTGAGGTGGAGGGTGTCGAGGGGGATGATTACTGCATATCAATTCGAGTTCAGCAATTTCTCATTGGAGTCTGTTTTCTCAAAAACCAGTGGGAGAACACGTTAACCTGTCTGGTCATTCAATGACAGACCTGCGGGTGGCTATTTTACAACAGAAAAGCTTCAAAAACAGACTCCAAGGAGAAACTGCTGAACTCGAATTGATATGCAAATTAGACACAATCAATTTAGGTTTGAATAAAGACTGGGAATGGCTGAGCCATTACAAACATTGAATCTATCTCCCCATGTAAGTACTCTCACACTTCTTATCAACCTGTCTGTACTGGGCTATCTTGATTATCACTTCAAAAGTTTTTTTTCCCTCTTACTTAATTGGCCTCTCAGAGTTGGTAAGACAACTCCCACGTGTTCATGCTGTATGTGTGTGTATATATATCTCCTCAATATATGTTCCATTCTATGCATCCGAAGAAGTGGGATGTAGCCCACGAAAGCTTATGCTCAAATAAATTTGTTAGTCTCTAAGGTGCCACAAGTACCCCTGTTCTTTTTGCGGATACAGACTAACACGGCTGCTACTCTGAAACCTACATTTGACTGGAGCTGTAAATCAACAATGTATTACCTGACTGGATTTTAAAACAATCTGAAATATGTGTTCAAAGAGAAAGTGAATAGGGTGTTAATTTTGAAACCTAGTGATGACAATGTGTCTAATACTGTTAACTATTTCACTGCTGGTCATTTTAGCAAACATTCAGCTAGTGTGCTTCTCCCAAACTGCTTCCCGCACCTTTCCACATGCCAAAAGCTCCAGATGTCTCTTTTCCATTTCCAAAGTCTCCAGCTTCCCCCCACCCCCAATCATTTAAACAATACAGTTACGTGTTCTCAATGCAAATTTCAGCACATTTGACAATTAAATATTTAAGGGAAGTGTAAAATAAATTTTATTTGATATATTAAATAACACAGGGATTACAGTACTAGTTTATTATTCATTTTCATATTTAATTCAATACAAAACTCCTTTTTTAAATTTTCTGCAGCTGCTGCAGTATCTACAGTCTGCTGCACTGGAGTGCTGTGAAACTCAAGGGCCTTGCCACAGAATTTAGGTCATGCTTGCCACAGAGCACATAGAGCCTGGGTAAACATGTCTTCATTTGTTCATCCATGTCCTGACCAACAGGCACTTGCTTTACATCACTCTGCAAAGACTCCTCTCATTAAATCAGCTCCACAGAGCTCTGCATCCGCTTTCCTCAGCCAGTGAATTGTGGCCATGATGGGGAGCAGAGATGTTTGAAAGAGGGGTGAGCCATGACTGAAAAATACTTACATTGCTACAACAAAAAAGAAATCCCCAGACCAGCCAACCCACAGATGGACATACTCAGAAATAAAGCAGCCCAGGATGATGACAAGGTAACAAGGCACAGGAAAAATCCAGTCTCCAGCCAAGGCTACTCAGGAACGAGAAAATTAAGTACAGCCTATGATAACGGGTTCTCAGCGAGTTCAGGAAGCTATCAGTTTACCAGACTAAGAACTTGGCTGTATCAAGCATTAACTGCTGCTTGTCATTCAGTATGTGGGATCTAACCCCAAACAGGAGCTTTTGCTACTCAAAACACCAGTCTTATCCTTACAGGTCAGAGCACACAAACAATGGGAAGTTCACAATGGGGGAGAACAAGAGTCTAGCTCAGAGACTCATCGCTAAGGTGGGGAGGAAGGGGAACCTAGAGCAGGGGTCCTCAACCTTTTTCTTTCTGAGGCGCCCCCCCCCCCCAACATGCTATTTAAAAAGCTAAGTTGCTCCTGCTTCAGCGTCAGCCCCGAGTGGCAGGGCTCAAGGCCCCGGGCTTCAGCTTTCTGCCCTGGGCCCCAGCAAGTGTAATGCCGGCCCCGCTTGGCAGACCCCCTGAAACCAGCTCACGGCCCCCCAGCAGGCCCTGGACCCCTGGTTGAGAACCACTGACCTAGGGTACCAGTTTAAAAAGCCTGAATTATCATTGGTTGGGAAGCATTGGCCCATGGGATGCACCTTGAGAGCTCAATTCTGGGCTGTGGAATTGGTGGCAAAGGGAGAATAAACTTCAGGCTGAAGAAGGAATCCCTAGAGAGGAAAGCATCGTGGAGTGTGTCTGTATACAGCACTGTATCTGGGGGATGCCTGGATACCCCTGAGGAGGGCGGAGAGGGAACTTCATATTCTGCAGCCGAAAGAAGAGGACAGGCACAGCTGAACACAGAGGGGGTAAAAGAAAGGCTGGCAGCTCCAGAGAGCTATTCAGTGCCCAGGTCCCTCTTGCCTTTCTGCCTGCCCCATACCCCAAGTACTGGGAGAGGGATCTAGGATGCATACCCTGGAGAAAGGGAATACTTACTCCAGCGGAGGAGAATGGGTGGTCGGGGGACGGAAGAGATCCTTAGCCATCCCTTGATTGCGGCAGAGGGCTTGCCAGGGGCTGGCTGCCTTAGGAGGAGTAAGGGGGGGACCCTAGTACTGGGTGTCAGGCTGGAGGGGCAGGAGCTTGGGGAGGGTGCCCAGGCTTAGTGCCTGGCCGGTAGCTAGGGGGCTGGGTGCCCAGAGAGTGGCGGGGGCGGGCTCAGCTCTGGGTCAGGGTCTGCGGTCACCGAAGGCCCTGCCAACGGGGGTCAGGCGAGGGGCCCCTCCCGGAGAGCGGGGTCCCCGGCGATGCCCGGCCGGGGGGGAGCCAGCGGGGACCGGCCGCCCCTTACCTTTATGCCCGCTGAAGGCCCCGTACCAGGAGAGCGAGAGCAGGGCGCAGAGGCAGCCGAGCAGCAGGGTGAGGAAGGTGCCATTGCGGAGCCTCATCTCCTCCTCCGCCGCGGTGGGGGAGGCCGCATGTCCCGGGCGCGGCGCGGCCTCAGCCTCCCGGGCCCCGGCCCCGGCGAGGAGCGGAGGCGGCGGGGGCAGCCGCGGTGGGCGGGAGGGACTCGCCTCCTCCTCCGCCTTCGCCCGCTGCCCTCATGCACTGGCCGCGCCCGGCCGGGCCGCCAGCTCCAGCGGGAGGGGGCTGCCGCGCGCGGTCCCCGGAGCAGGGAGGGGGCTGCCGCCGGGGAGGGGAAGGGGCGGAGATGGCACCGAGTTAAAGGAACCGCGCACATGCCGCGGCCGGGCGGACGTGCAAGGGAGGGGGCCAATGTGCGTGTGCAAGGGCGCCGCGCGCCTTTCCGTGAACAGGTGGCGGGGAATTCACGTGTGCAGGCAGGGCCTCGTGAGTGTGCCAGGGCGTGCTCGTGTAAACGGGGCCCTATGCTTGTGCAAGCTCCTGGGCTCATGCGTGCGAGGGCAACCGTGTGCATGATGCGTGTGTGTGTGTAAGTGTGCACGGAAATCTACGTGCAGATGTGTGTGTGTGTGTGTGTGTTACTAATCCACAATAAACAGCTGTATGAAATTATAGTCACTCTGCAATAACCTTTTAACACTTTTAAATTTAAATATAAAAAGGGAAATTATGAAACACCCAAAACAATGAAAGCAAATACATTCACAGCCAGCGGGTAAATAAACCATAAATCTAAGTTGCAAGCATCTTATTTACTGCCTTCAATCACTTTATTTTGTGCCTCATTCTTCATCTTTATTAGTATATTCAGCACGTCAATATTTTTACTTGGTGTCAGCTTGACCATCGATGTAGTTTTCAGCGTGTGAAGCTGCACAGATGCTGGGGATATTATATTCAAAAGTGTAGCCTTACTTTTCATTAGAGAACGCGAAGGCATGCTCACTTTTGTGGCAATTAAAACGTGCTGCATGTTGGGGGGAAAAACAAGGTTATATCCTACAGATTTTTTCAGCCCCACTGTATAACGGAAAAGTCCGAATCATCTACATTCAATTGCCCTCTCAATTCATCTGTGAGAATATGTCCTTGACAGAGAAGCTTTCAGAGTGAGGGGGATTATTTTTTCTGTTGAACGTAAAAGTTTTGGGGAAACATTTTACGTGACAACATTTAAAACGTCATTTTAGCAGTTGGGGCGGGAAATGTTTATAATACAAACACAGACAGACGTTTAGCTGGAATAGTGCTAGTAGCAGGCAACACCATACAAGAAAAAACACTGTATCATTAGTATACACCGGATAGCCTGACAGTGGCTCCTACCTCCTAGCAGAAGTCAAAGAAGAGACACTCAAGTAAAAACACTGCATCATTGGCTGCATTCTATGTTCATCCGAAACAAGCAGCAGCACAAAGACCAGCATGGATTTGTTCTCCTCCTGATATTTCTAAAGTTTGATTGAAGACACAAAATGCAATGGAATGGAAGTGATGTGTCCGGATGTCCTGCAGTGGGTGCAGCCAAGCCAGCAGCGCCACCTGCTGTTTCCACCCTGGCTTTGAGCACCGGAGGGAGAGAAGAGAGTGGAGTCACTATTCTATTTCGGAAACGGAAGTTAAGAGGTGGGCTGGCGCTACCTGGCTATGCTGATGGATGGGGTCTGAGGGCGAGAAAGAGAGAATGCCTGTGAGCTCTTTTCTATAGAAGCGGCTTTCAACTAAAACCCCATCATCAAATATTCCCAACCTTTAAGGGATTTGGAATCTAAATCTAGATCTAAAATTGAATTTTGCAGCTGATCCCCACCTCTGTAAAGGGCCAAACCAAAACCCTGGATCCAGACAGTCCCAAACTTTGTCAGAGAAAGGGGGTATCAAAATACAGATTTCAGATCTGAATTGTGTATCTCTTTCTGGTCCTTCTCTAGATTTATATTCAAAAAGCACTGGTGACACAACACACATTTGTCTCCACTGGGATGAAGGAGAGGAAATGGAGGAACAATGTGCAATAAAGACAGCACAGTATATAACAGTTCAATCCTGTGTTTTCCAACAGGTTTAGTTCTCAATTCTAATGTTCTCATTTTGTAATGTTATTTTCCATCATAGGAAACACTAAATATTCCAGAGAAGTAGGATTAAACCCTCTGTGTCATAACCTAATTTATCACCCCTCCCACCCACACAATATGTCACCCTTATCATCCAAAGCACATTTCTGAGTGCTTTCTCTAGCTTTCTCCATAGCTCATTGCACTTAGTATGAAATTGAAAATACGCTGCAGCAGTGCAGAACAAAACAGACTGTCATTGACAAAGGCCCTGCACACCAGAAATATGTTTTATTACAGGAAGAATAACTAAATCATTATAAATAAATATGCCAAGGATTTAAAAAGGCAGTGTTTGACAACAAAATTGGGGGGAGTAGATTGGCAGTCTTTGTTATGGAGCATGATGGAATATCTGCACTGATTCATGACATTCTGTACTGGATTATAGTTGTTCCATAACTGGAGTTGGAATTATGTCACAAGAGGCTGGCACTCAATCACAGCAATTCCCCCAAGGTACACAATATGGTCATGAAATTTTCATCCTGGGAGCATTGCTACACTTGGACAGATTCTCAAAAAATATATTTGATTAAAATTTTACGAGATGGTTATGTACTGGTTTCCCCCCATATGTCCTTTCCCAACATTGACTTTTACCAAGATATTTCTGTGTAAATGGAGCTTTCCTATTTCTAAACTACTGCTTCCTCAATAGGTACTCTGTGATGTGCTTGTTTACACAGTGATAAAACTACCATTCCACAGTCCTTACTGAGGCCTTGTCTACTCTGCATTTCTAGCCAAACACCTTTGTGTAGACATGACTGAGGCAGTGTGTTTTGGACTGGTGCAGTTTACCCTAGTTTAAAACTTACCTGATTCCACCAACCTGATTCCATCAGCCTCCACCCCAAACCCCGCTTTGCCTCCAGCAAATGGTGTTAAATATATAAATGGTGTTTTTAATTTATAAGGAGGTCACACTCAGAGGCTTGCTATATGAAAGGGGTCACCAGTACAAAAGTTTGATAACCACTGATTTAGTGGGTTCTAAGAATAGGTAAGTTTAATAGTATGACCATTCTATGGCAGGCAAGCAGCCCAGATATATGTAGCCACTGAAGTCCCTGCAGGTGTGCTTGGCAGAGTTTTATGAACATTTTAATATGCAAATATGTCCTGATCAATGTGGCTTTGCAGTGCACATTTGCTGTCATTTTAGCAAAGGCATTTAATCTTAGTTAAGGAAATGGCATTTAATGTCTACTGAGAGTAAATCAATGATGGATGAACATGGCAAAGGGAAGCTATTGCCTGGAAAAGCAACATAAGTTTTAAAGGACTTGAAACTAGAAGGTTATAACCTCAAGTTGTTTGCCAAGCTGTTGACCAATAGTAATCAGATTTTGAAATGATTTGGTCTGTTTTCGTCTGTTCATATGGTAATTTTATTGTATTTAAATCAGGCAGGAGAGTTACACAAAGGATGCATTTGACCCATTTTCTTTACTGCCCACAAGCAAATTAACATATTGAAACTGATTTTGTTTGTCTGTAAACAAGGCTAAACAAAAGAAGCCTGATCCTGAATACCTTATTCACACACATAATTCTTACTTACCAGAGTCATTCCATTGTCTTCATTAGTACTATTCTAGTAAATAAAGATTGCTCCTGTAAGACAATTGAGACATTAACCCCTGAATTCTGTCATCTCTGTGTTGCAAGTTCAAATCCAGCCCACATTGCCATTTAGTGAAATGTGCTTTACAGGAATGTGATAAGAGCTAATCTCATACCAAGTACCTACAATTTTTGACTTGTTCTGTTCTGCGAGACAACAATGCCATGCAGATACCTTCAACCTATCATGTGAAATCATAACTCAGCTGGTATAGCCAGCAACCACACACCAGCAGCAGCGTTTTCACCTTCAGAAAATAGTTGAAACCTTAAGCCATACCAGGTCCTGTCTCCTGTATTTAAATATACATGTTAAACCTGGTAAACAGGAAGCAGTAAATATGTTTAGCTAGGGCCAAGGGGGAAAACTTGATGGGAAGAAAGCAGGTAAGGTCTGCTCGTGCACGTCACTTGAGATTTTGTTGCCATCTGAGAGTTCAAGAAAAATCACTTAATACTATTTAGTGCATCATATCTAATTTGTTTATTTTTACTTTTGTAAAATTCACCTATTACCCTGTTCTGTGGGTATATATACAAACATTAGAATAACATTCATAATTTACTAATAGACAAATTAATTAGGGTTTCACCCCAGGATATAGGTCTTTATAATTGCCATAATCACACTTTTCCCTCATAAAGACCTGAATAAGTGGATGGGATTTATACCATACAATGCAGGTCAACAACACTTAGCCTGTCAAAAAAACAGGGGGAGTAAAGCAGTGTTGCCAACTCTCGCAATTTTATCATGAGTCTTGCAATATTTGGTGTTTTTCTTAAAGCCCTTTCCCCTCATGCTCCTGAAGTCATGTGATTATATGAGACAATCAGCTTTAATTTTTCTTAAAAGGAAGATTCTAACTCTTGCGAATTAAGAGAAAAGCTTGAAAATATGAACTGCAAAGACTCAAAGTCCTAAAGGCAAATAAAAATAATATTTAAAAAAAAAACAGCATGATTTTTAAGCCAGTCTCATGATTTTTGAACACTTGGGGTTAGCAATAGAGAATAAATTTCAGACCCGAGCCTGCAACTGAAAACACCTTGTCAGCTAGGGTTGCCAGGCGTCCGGTTTTTGACCAGAACGCCCAGTCGAAAAGGGACCCTGGTGTGCGCTAACCAGGCTGCTAAAACTCTGGTCGGTGGTGCAGCAGGGCTAAGGCAGGCACCCTACCCTGCCTGCCCTGGCTCCACATGGCTCCTGGAAACAGCCAGCATGTCCGGCTCCTAGGCACAGGGGCAGGCACGGGGGCTCTGTGCACTGCCCTTGCCCCAAGCACCAGCTCCGCAGCTCCCATTGGCCAGGAACCGCGGCCAATGGGAGTTGCAAGGGCAGCACCTGTGGGGCGGGTGCAGGCAGCACGCAGAGCCCCCTGGCCCGCCCCTCCGCCTAGGAGACAGACATTCCAGGAGCCACCTGAGGTAAGCGCCACCTGATTGGAGCCCACACCCTGAACCCCCTCCCTCATCCCAACCCCCTACCCCAGCCCTGAACCCCCTCCCACAC